AATGGCTTAGCATACCAAATGGAAATATTCATTTACTTGTTTGTCATGGATTTAAATCTAAAGAAGTATATTTAATAATTTTTTCTTTTCAACAATTATTTCATTTTATATAAATGATGTTTTGACTTTTTTTCTTTTTAGTTGACTTCTGTAAATAGTCCAACTTATAATAAAAGTAAACAAACAAAACCAAATGATACCATATCACCTCCAATTCCTACTAGACCTATATTATTACAACAACAACAGATTTCACCAATATTATCAACAAAACCGAATGGAATATTAAATTCATCATCTCCGAAAGATATATTGATATCGCCAAAAGTCATTAGTCCAAATGTAAATTTTCGATATACCAAAAACAAAATACTTTTTTTAATGATTCTTTTTTTTAGTCTCAACAAGTACCACCACCACCTGTTCCTGTTAAACCAAAACTTCGTCCATTGAATACACAATTTGTACCAATTAACGGTGATAATCAAACAACAACAACAACAACCACAAAATATAATTCAACTTCTCCACGAATACAATCACAAAATGGTTTTGAAGTTGATGATGTAAATTTTATAATATGGAATTTTATTATGTCATTATCATTTGTTTGTTTTTATTTAGCTTGATATATCTATAGCTGAATCAGAAAAATCTTTTAATGATAAAAAAAAATTTTTTGAAAGTGGTTTTAAAGAATCTGGACCAAAACCAAAACGTATGTTTGAAAATCTTTTTATTTTTATTTTTATTTTTTTTACAATTCATTTATTTTGATTAGCTCGTCAATTTAAATATATTAATGAACATGAATTATTACAAATGAAACAAGAAGAAGGTAAATTTAATACAGTTGTTTGAATTCTTTAATTATCACGATAATTGAATCAGGTATTTGACTTTTAATAAGACAAAAAATTAATTTGAGAAATAAAGCATTGTACTACGATCCCCAATCATTTATTTGTTAAATAAAAGCTCTTTTTTTTTGATTGAAATACTCAGAGCAAATAGTGTCACAACATCTCCTAGACGAAAAAAATTCTTTGACGGTTGTTAGTTTTTATTGACAAATATTCAATTATACTCTTAAATTCTATTTCGATAGACTTTTATTCTATATAGAAATTCGCTTTTATCTGTCTTAGTTTTGAAGTTTTATCTCTTGAGAAAACATTTTCAGCAATTCTATAGAATTCAATTGCCTGCCATGTGTTAAATATTGTTCACTTTCCTTTTTTTTATACAATTCAAATAGGTAAAATAAGTTTTTACGAAGAATTCAAAAAGAAATAAATTTGTTCTTTCATTCAGTTTATAGAATATAATCAGAATTATGAAAAAACAACATACATTACCATATATATGTTTTCTATAAATAGTATATGATTTTATAGTAAATAAAACTTTTAAAGAAATCTTTACATTTATTAATATGATGTTTGTATAAGTAGACTTCTTATATAAACTTTGATATGTTATTAAGTTAAACACATTTAAAATGACCTAGTTATTTGATAATTCATATGGATTATAACAACATAAATTTTGAGTAAATTACTGAGATATTCCTTTCGAAATTGATGTTTTATAAAAATAAAAAAGAAGAGATTACAAGGTCAATTATGTTCATAGTCTTATCTTAGCCTACGAAGTTTTTCTTCGTTTTGATCTTATTGTACATTTTTTTTCATTGTAAATTTACTCTTATGCAGCAGGATATGTTTACCCTGTATATTTCTATTATAAAACATAACATATAATGATTAAATTATTTCAAAGGAAGAAAATAGAATGCCTTGTATAAATATATCAACAAATCATTATCGCAAGCAAAAACACGCTCGCTATTGATTCATATGTACTTGAGACTTGCGTTTATCTTATCTTAATCATCTTATCACGAATATTTTCGTCTAATTTCTCATTCAAACGATCAATTTCATTATGTATCACTTCAAAAACAATATTTTGCCATTAAGAATGTCTATTAAAGGGCAAATATTGGCTTTCAATAAGATTAATCTTTTCTACAGTGACGTTTGATTGATTCATTTGAAAGTTCAAGTAGAAAATTCTGATCAGACAACATATTCGTTTTGAAAGTTCACAAGTACAATATAGAATGAAGTCGACTTAACTCTACAAGATGGGTTTCATATTTCAAAACATATTAATCACTAAGACCTTGACTTCATGGCGAGGACTTTGATGATATGCAAGAAGTAACAGAGGGCAACCTTTCATGTTGAAAAATAGAACAGTAGCTTGTAAGATAACAAAATAATAAACAAAAACTTGTTTTTTACCTACTTCTGTTGAATATGGTTTTCTCAAGGGAAAGAAAATGTATGAATCATCACTGCAATATATGTAAACTAACTGAGGGTATGTTGATGTTTACAATCAGGGTTTATTACTGTACGAATGCATTCAGGATATCAAATCAATATTATAAAGAAAAGTGGGACCTTGTAAGGGCAACTACAATGGACCGTCATAAGTCTCGCATTACTTTTTTGTTTTGATTCGCATTTCAAAAATACACGACATAGATTCAAATTCCTTTTTACCTTCGGGTAGTGGGGCTCGAGTACTATATGTATGCATATGTTTGAAAGGAATAATCTTTGAATCAAAAACACAGGTAAAAAAAACAAATTTCAGTAGTACGACAAAAAGTACTCAAAAAAAGAAAAAGGACAAGCTGATATAGCTGTAATGATTTTGAGTAAGATCCTAGTAATACAAAAATTGAATAAATATTTGTTTGATATTTTTACATGAGTCGATAGATCTCGACGAGCTCTATAAAATTGATTATATTAAATTTTTTTTAGAACCCTTTTCTATCACAAAAAGATTACAAAATAATCGCATATTTTATTTGTTCTATATGAAAAATCGAGAATTTTTCTATACCAAAAAAAGCATAAAAATACAATTTTATTGTAACTTTTCTACCTGAAAACGGTTCTAAAAAATTTTAATATAGACAGTTTTGTAGAGTTCGTTGAGATCTATCGACTCATGTAAAAATATCAAACAAAAATCTATTCAATTTTCGTACTACTAGGATCTTACTCAAAATCATTACAGCCATATCAGCGTGTCTGTTTTTTTTTGAGTACTTTTTGTCGTAGTACTGAAGTTTGTTTTTTCTACTTGTGTTTTCGATTCAAAGATTATTCATTTCAAACATATGCATATATATAGTACTCGAGCCCCGCTATCCGATGGTAAAAGGAAATTTGAATTTATGTCAAGTATTTTTGAAATGCGAACCAAAACAAAAAAGTGATGCGAGACTTTTGACGTCCACTGTAGTTTTGCCTACGATGATTATAACTCAATACATTAATTAAAACATAATATAGATACCATGATATATTATTCAAAGCCTTTTTTTGTGTAAGACTTAACCAGGTTTATTATGTTTCATACGTTAAATTTTTCAGAGGATTTTTCTGCAATTCTATTGTCCGTTAAGCATAATGACTTTGAATATAATTATTATAATAATTGAATTCTATTTATAGAATAACAATAATTTGAAAGCTAATAAGTTTATAATTACTAGTTCAGTCATATGTAAATTTTTCTTTTTTTGTTTTTTATTAGAGCAAAAAATCAAATCAATGAGTCCTACGGAATTACGTCAATCTCGAACAATGTATGATAATGATACGAATGATTCAAAATCAATGCAAACAACATTATCTCAATATCAAACACCAACTTATCTTGCTAAGTAGGATTTTCTTTTCATTTTTCTTTTATAAATAGGAAAAAGATAAAAAAATCTCTACATATTAATTATTTTGTTAATTAACTAGAAAACTTAGGCAAATGTCATCATGGGGAAAACGTATGCGAAAAATATCGCTCGCGAAATTTTCCCATTATTTGTGAGTGAAATAAAATCAGAAATTCAAATTTTTTGGGGAAGCATAAAATTGATTATTTATTTTTCTTTTTTTTCTTCAATAAAAAACAAAAAACATGTTCTTTTATTTTTTTTAAATTATAGACCTGAAGAAGATGATGTTGATGATGATGATAATGATCTTGTTCAACAACGACAATCAAGAAATGTTTCTTCTACTGCAAGGTAATTAAAATTAAAAAAGAAAAAAGCGTGATATTGTATGCTTATATGTAAATTAGAGTAACCTTGTTCGAATGTAATACTGCTTCTGCTCATAATATGCTTTCGAAATTTGCTATTGGTAATTGATCCAATATAAGAAAACAATAAACTAATTATTGATTTATTTATTTTATTTTTTTAGCAGAATCTGGTATGACTTAATGGAAAATAATGAAACTAAAAGTGATTTAGTATAACAAAAAAAAAGAATCATCATCTATGCACAAAATATATAAAATGATCAACTTTTCTTACATATATATATATATACATATATTTATAGAAATTATTCTTTGTGTATTGTATATAAATGGAGTTTTTCTTTTTTTCTTCTATTAGTGATAATTTATCACTATTTTCTTTTTGTTTCAATCTAATAAATTGTACTTTGAAGTTGTCATCTTGTTAAAAAATAAAATACAATTAAATATTGTTATTGTGCTTTTTTTTTTTTTTTTTTGAATTCATTCTTTCTTTTATTATTGTTTGCTCTTTATATACTCGTATTCGTTCTTTTCTTTTCTTTTCTTCTTCAGTTTTTTTTTCTTCTTCTTCTAAAGTAAATTTAATGGGAATTCATTTATACACTTGTTTTTTGATTTCTATAGAAACTAAAAGTTATGTGTGTGTTGCTATATGACCTCCAAACACATATTCTTTTTCTTTTTTTGTATTTTTGCTCTTTGTTAATGATGAAAGGTGAAGAATTGAAAAAAGAAATGCGAGAAAAAAAAAACTGAAGAAGAAAAAAAAGAAGGCTAGTTAGTTGCTGTCAACGACGTCCGACGGTGTTTCATTGTGTCGAACTATTCGGTTGTAACTTTTTTTGCTCGTTTTATTCCTAATAAATATGACATCGCAAAACGAAGTTGATGATATGATTAAACGTATACAAGCATCTAAAGGTGTACAAGGTAATGGTGATAAACTAAACATGTTACTTTATTTAAACCAATTACGCAGGCTTATAATCTATACTCTTCCTAATTGTTTTTTTTTTCTCATTTTTTGAAAAGGATTAATTATAATTGATTCGGAAGGAATACCTATTCGATCAAGTATGGATAATGAAACAACGTTACATTATGCAGCTTTAATTAGTCAACTAACTATTCATGCTAAACGTGTTGTTCGTGAACTTGATCCAAGTCAAGAACTTGAACAACTTCGTAAGAACGACGAACATATCTAATATTCTGTTAATTAAAAATCTGCTTTTTGTTTTTAATTATTTATGTTAGGTCTTCGTTCACACAAACATGAAATCATCGTTGCGCCTGAGAGTAAATATATCATGATTGTAGTTCAAGTACCAGAAGCTCTTTAATATAAAAAAATTATTTGTGTTTTTTTTTTTTTCTATTAATTAAATATAATTAAAAAAAAAAAGATTTTCTCACCGTTGCAACATTTCCGACAAAAGAAAATTAGAAGAATTAAAAATTATGCTTCGTCAAGAACATAATCATGGTGTTATTGAATAAAAGACATGCAAAAAAATTTGAGAATGAAGATAGTAGTAATGTGACATTAATACAGTGAGAACCAGCTCATGTATTAATTAATCATTACTATTATGAACACTACTCCTATAACTAATGAACAAAAAGAAAAAAAAAAAACCTCTGTCGATCTACGAACTGTAAAGAATAAAAGAAAGAATAGCCGAAGATGAAGAAAAATCAAAAGAGTTTTCTAAAAAACAAAGTTTAATGATGACATTGTTGGAGTTAATAAACAATTGTATGAATCATTGTTTACACCAAATACATCATTAATGTCATCAATTGATGGAAAATCATTAAATGATTTGAGTTTCTCGAATTCAGTTATATTATTAAAAAAAGGAAATAATTCATTTATCCAACCAATTTCCTGTATTGGTGATAATGATGATGGTGAACTATCTGATGAATTTGTATGTGATTCATTGAAATCATTATTTAATTGAGGAGGTTGTTGAGTTTGATCAACAATTTCAATTGGTTCCCTTTTCATAACTTGATAATTTGTTCGACGACGTTTTCGTCGTTGTGGTAATATTTCTACTGGATAAACTGTTGAAATTTCATTTAAATTTATACATTGTTCATTTATAGCTAAAATAAAGATGAAAGAAAATATCAAAATTAAAAATTTCATATAAAAATTATTTACATGATAAAATATTTGCTGTTGCTAAATTATTTAAATTTATATTCGACACCAATGTTGATTCTTGTTGTGTAGTAGTTTTTAATCGTTCAAAATTTTGTTTTCTTGCATATTGATCAAATTCATTTTGAGCCAATGGACTACAAAAACAACAAATCAATAAAGAAGATTTTCATTCTCTTGTTTGTTGTAATTTTTTTTTTTTTCATATTAATTTTAGTTTCTTACTCAATTAGTTGTGCCAAAAAGCCAAGCTTCATTGCTTTTCGTCGACCTTCAACTAACATATGAGTATTGCAAAGAAAAGTAAGACGATCACCATTGCAAGTATATAAATCAAGTACATTCATCATTGTATAATGTTGACCTAAGACTAAGATATAATAATAATTAAATTAATAACAGAGTGTTTTTCATCAATTAAATCATACTGCAATTCTGTCGTGTTTGTTCGAAAATATTTATATGTTCAGCAGGTAAAAAACGATTGATTGATTGATCAATTATGTCTCCTGCTTTATAGCCCAATAATGATTCAGTACTAAAAAAAATTAGAAAATATTAATATAAAATTAAATGATTGAGAAAACAAAAAAGAAAACTAACTTGGGTGATATTTCACTAATATATAATTGATCAGTAAGTACGAATCGAAGTATTTTTGAACTTGTTGAACCAATACTATTTGTTGGAATATTTGGTGTACTTGAAAGAATTTGTTCACATCGTGCAATAAACAATGGTTCATGCTGCTCTTCGTTCTCCTCATTATTGATAAAAAAGAAACGACCTGTCATTAACATTGTCTAATAGGGCAAAAAAATATTCATTAGTTTTTTTATTAATATTTCTTTTGAATAAGACTTACTTTTGTTTCAGTATGATTTCGACTAGGTCGTTTTCCACGTAGTAAATTCCATGTACAAATAATTTGTTGTTCAATAGTTGTTGATGTTGAAAGAACTTTACGAATAGATTCATGATCCTCTTCACTTACACAATTATAAATGTTTGTCATCTGAGGGTAAAGTGAACGCTTGAAATATAAAAAAAAAAACAAAAAGATCATAGTAAAAAGATTATTATCTCATTATTTCTACATACAACATTTTTACGTAAATAAGTTTCAACATTATCACTCATTAAGATTATTCGACCGGTTGTATTTAATACAATAATGAAACCATTAAGGTCATCTTCTATAGAAAAAGTTTCAATACCAGATGCTAATTCAACATTTCCTAATAGATAGATTAGATAATTAGTTTTTTTTTTTTTTTCTTTATTTTTATTTTAATTAAACTTACTATTAGGTACATTAGAAGGCCAATATTTTTGCCTAAGAATGCGAGCCAGTGTTAAACTAAGTATGTCATTTTTATTTAATTTATTGTCAACATCATCAATAGTAGGGTCTTTGATAAGTTGACCTAATGCTTCCAGAGCTTGATTTGTTTGTCGACGACGTTTATGTGGTGTACTGCTACATTCTGTCACAGAATTTGCAATATCATTAGCCGCCAACAATGAACGCTGAAATATGATGATTCATTCATCATCATTACATAAGCATAAAATATCTAAACACAATTTACCTTGAGAGTGCTTTGGTGCGACATGCGGTCGACGCGAAAGTCGTTCAACGACAAATATATCTTCGAAACTGCCAGCAGTTGAAGAAACTACGAAACACGAAGAACTACTGCTTATAAAAAATGTGCACACTCTACAGCAATGCAAAAGAAGAATGACGATAGTCAAAGAGCATATAGACATAGCCCTCTTTTTTTTTCCTTTTTCTCTATTTCTCTCTCTCTCTCGCTCTGTTTAGGTTGTTCTCTTGTAGTTTTTTTCTCTTCCTTTTGTCGTCAATAATGGCGAGATTTTTTATTTCGTCGTTGTTTTTGTATGTCTTACCTGTAAAAAAATATGAGGCGATTTTTTTTTAATGTTGTAATGACGTCGACCACCCCCTAGTGTATAATCGATATTTTTCGTCGCATACCCCTTTCCTTCTATTTGCTGTGTGTACAGTGATGCAACTAATCAAAACATATTACTTGTATAAAGAAAAAAAACATATTTGAATATTAGCATATTCTATGATTCAACAATTTTATTGACTCATTATCTTAAAACAAAAAGTAAAAGCCCTGACTTAATAAGTGTCATTGAAGGTTCAGCAATTAGTTAGATGAAGTAAAAAAGTGTCATAATAGTATAAATCATGTAGATGACCAAGTTGAAAACTGCGTTTTAAAATATAATTGGAGTTATTTATGTATTTTCTATATTTATATTTGTATATAAAGTAATATTTCATACTTGATTAGTTTTTAAATATTTTTGAGCTAATATTCAATTTAATTTACTATTGATTTCTCAATGTAATACATAAAATAACGAGCAAATGAAAGGAATAAATAATAATAATAATAAACAAATTATAGATACTCTTAATTTAATTTTTATTAGCATTAGGTATAAATTAAACACGCAAACCTTTCTTATGTTTGAATAGAATTATGAATAATTTGTCAGGAACAATTCTGAAGGATGACTAAAATATTGATGTTACTAATAGATTAATGGATTTATATTGATCTGACATATTCTGTTATTTTTTTTGATAATTACACAATAAGTACGTAATTTATTGATTACAGCGCAACCAATAAATTATTTGAATAATAAATGACATAATTGGATGTCAAAATTCAAATCTTCTTTAATGATTAGCCTTTATAAAAATCTCAACAAAGACTAAATATAGCCAACAACCATCTTTTAAATATAATAGTTTTTTTCTCTCTTTTTTACTTCTATTAGAATTCAAGGAGACATTCCTCATAATCTTTTTTTCATTTACAAAGTGGATACTCTTCCATCAAAAGAAACCTCTATGCACAATGACATGCGTATTACGTCTGGTTTATTTAACATTATTTAAGATAAAACAAAACTTGAAATAACAGAAGTTTAATACTCTTTACACAAGTTTACTGGATTAATATGTATACATAAAAATATAGAAGGCAAATAATCAATGTTATTGATTTTAAATAATCCATTGATTGGTTGGAAAAAAAGAAGAGAAAAAAAAATGCATGGCAAACAAAATGATTGCACAGAAAAAAAAAGAGATCAATATCATTCTCTTGATTAGGTTTTTTTAACTCATAATTGTATTGATATATATAAATACGCATTTTCATTGAATGCAAACAAGATTAGTAGATGTTTACTAGAATAAGTAACAGAAAGAAAATTTTTAAAAAAAATCAACAATAAAGCTTACTTGTTTTTTTGATAAATCAACATTAAGTTTTGTAGCTAATTGTTTACCAAAATCATTATCAACATTTGCTAAAACAGCTACTGAACGACGTATTATATCTTTATCTGTGCATTGTTGTAAATGTTCAACTATATTTTGTATTAAATGAGCACGACCACGATCATCTAATACTTTCTAAAAACAAAGCACAAAAAAAAAGATAAATATTTTCCGTTTTTGTTTGTTTTTTATTTACTTGATAGAAAACTCTTGGTTGCGAATAATTATCATCGTCATTTGCTTCATGTCTTGCAGCCATACCTGATTCAAATGTGGCATGTTCAAGATATTTTTCAGGTTTCATAACTTCAGGCCCATGAAATGTATTTCGATAATAATTTGGACAACCAGCTAAAAAAAAAAAGAGAAAAACTGTTCTTTTTGTTTTACTCCTAATAAACTTATTTATCTTACAATGATTATGTCCAACTTGCATTGCACCATCACGTTGATATGTACAAACTTTAACACTTTTATTCGTTTCAGGATTATTTACTGGAAGAAGAAGATAATTTGTTCCAAGACGATGAAGATGTGTATCACCATATGAAAAAAGACGACCCTAAGAAATAAATATAAAAAAAATAAAATATTAAAAATTGAAATTTTTATGTTTCTTTGATTTACTTGTAACATTTTATCTGGTGATGCTTCAATACCTGGTGGCATATGTGCTGGTGAAAAAGCAGCTTGTTCAATTTGGGCAAAATAATTTTCTGAATTTTCATTTAATGTCATTTTACCAACACGACGTAAAGGAAATTCTTTTTGTGAAAATACTTTTGTTAAATCGAATGGATTGAATGGCATTTTTTGTACTTGTTCATGTGTTGCAACCTACATACAAAAATTAATTTTGTTTTTTTTTTGTTTTCTTATTTTCTTACTTGAAGATAAAGTGTCCAACTTGGATAATCTTTTTTAGCAATTGCATTATAAAGATCTGCTATAGCGTAATCGGGTTGTTCACCAGCTAAGATTTTTGCTCGTTCCGGTTCAATATTTTTAATGCCTTGATCAGACTAATAATTCATTAAAAGAAAAGAAAAAAAAAAACAATTTTTGAAATATATAAAATAACTGATTTACTCGAAAATGAAATTTAACCCAAACAAATTCATCTTTATCATTAACCATTTTAAATGTATGTGAACCATAACCATGCATAAAACGAAATCCATCAGGTACACCACGATCAGAATAAAGAAAGAGAAACTAAAAATTGAAAATTTTTTCTTTTGTCAAATTTAAATTTCTAAACATTTTTGTTGTTACTTGATGTGTTGCTTGTGGATTGCTAGCAAAAAAATCCCAAACCATATTCGGATCTTTTAAATGTGTTTGAGGATTACGTTTTTGTGAATGAATAAACATTTGAAACTTAGAAAATAAAAGATATCTTCATAAAACTCTTGTTTTTATAATAAACATTTACATACTAAAAATGGATCACGAATAAAAAATATTGGAGTATTATTAGCAACTAAATCCCAAATACCTGAAAAAATACGAATTTTTTTTTTTTAATTTTGGTTTGTAAAAATATATTTTGTAATGAAAGAAATCGAACCTTCGTCAGTATACATTTTAATTGCAAAACCACGTGGATCACGTACTGTATCAGCTGAACCACTTTCACCAGCTAGAAATATTTCATATTAAAGCAAAGATCGAATCAATTATTTAAAAAAAAAAACAATTCATTTTTCAAATTGTAATACTATGACTCAAGCTAAATCAAATGTTTTTTTAGGTCATGTCAAATGCATTTAGATATTGATATGCTTGAAAGATTTTTTTGATGAGTGAAGGTTTTAGCTTTGTTTTCGATTAGAATTTGTAATACTTTTGTAAGGTGAAAATTTTTTCGAACTCTACGAGGTTATTACTTACCAACTGTAGAAAAACGTGCCAAAACACGTGTTTTTGTACCCGTCTTGAATACCTTGGCTTTGCAAATATCTGATATGTCATCGGTTGCTTCGAATACACCGAAAGCACCACCACTAAAACATTTAATTGATTAAGTCATATATTTTTTGATTATTATTATGGAAAAAAAAAAGATTTACCCTTTCGCATGAACAACACGTTCAGGAATTCGTTCACGATCAAATTTTTGCGTATCTTCAATATAAGGAAAATCCGAAAGTAATAATGGTCCTCGTGGGCCAACTGTTATAACTGTCGAACGTTCACCAACTGGACGACCATAAGCAGTTGTTAATTGTTCAGTTTTCTTTCAACGAAAAAAAAAAAAAGAAATATTCTATTTAATAAAATGCTAAAAATAAAAAACAAACTTACATTTGATTTTTTATAATCAATTAATTGATTGTCCGATGGACCTGGTTCTTTTAATTCTGGCTGTTTTGTATTAGCCATTATTATTGATCAAAGACAAAGATAGCTATAATAAATGAATACGAAGAAAATGCTATGTTGCGTCTTTATATACACATGCTTATATAATTCAGTTCATTGAGTGCAAACTCTTTTATCTATTCTCTGCAATAAAAATATAATCTGAATGACAAGCAAAACTCATCATCGACAGTCAAAAAGTTTAAATGAACGAATTAATATAAGGTGGTCATTATATGAAATAAATGCGTACGTATGTGCACACAGTACACCTCAACTGTTTAACTGCTGTTATTCTCTTTCTTTTTGTAAATCTAACATAAATTTTTACGTTTTTTTCTATAACGAAAATAGAAAAAAAAACACAGAATATCTTTTACTTCGTCATTCTGTATTGATTTTAATGGGAAACAAAAACATGCTATTTCTACAGATAAAAATAATTTAAAAATCTTGATTTATTACTTAATTATGTGTTATAAATGAATGTACATATAATTTAAGTAAAAACAAATTAAAAGAATAATTAAAGATACGTAAAAATGAGAAAAAAAAAGATTTCCAATAAATTTATCTTAGTAACACGTGTAAAAGAAAGTGGTATGTACTGGATGACTCCAAATATGTAACCACAAGTGTTGCTGATGTATACCGGGATTTGTTTTTTTTTGTTCTTGCTTGTTCTTTGTCTATTGCTTTTTCTTTCTTCTTAGTACAGTCACGATACTTGATCGAAAGCGATATGTTGACAGAAGAGGACGCTCAAAATCGTCTGATAGAAAATGGACTATTTTCATGTCTGCAGTAGATGAAAAAATAGGTAAAGATTATTAGAAGGTTTGAAAATCGATCTATTGTAAGCACTAAAAAATTGACTTCTATGTATTTCCTTGAATATTTAACAAGCTTCTTATGAAACGATAGAAATAGAAATAAATTTTAGTGATGGTTACGTTAATCAAGTCGTACTGAAGACATGAAACAAATTATAACTGATTATCAAGGTAAATTTCCTAAAAATCGGCCTTTTAGTATAAATTTATAAAGATAAAGAGGCGAAGTCTATTGATACATAGATACAGATGAATATCTTGCTCAAATAAAAAACAAACATTTTTTCATTGATAAGGACAGACAAAATAAACATCTGTCTCAAAAGTAATTTTTTCAAAAAGATTGAATTCTACATGTTTGATTTTTCGGTATATAATTCAGTCATTTATACATATATATATATATATTTTTGTAAAACACAAACTAAAAAGAGTGTTGAAGTATAAAGGTAGAATTTTGAACCCACTGTCCCTGTTTCGCATAGTTCGTGACAAGAATTGTAATGTACGCTCAAAGATCATATATCAACGATGTTTCGTTCTAGTACATGAAATGCTTTCCTATTGCACTTATGTGGAATTAATTAAAAAAATGATGAATAAATGCACTCCGGAATAGATAGAATAAAACAATCTGTACGTTGTTGGCAACAGCAACTAAATCGTTTTTCACATTTTGATCTCGCAAGTTTGACACTAATTACATTTGTATCCTGCGAATAGTCTCGATGTTTCAGCTTCCATCATTTCTATGAAAAATTTTTCATTACTGAGTCATTGTTTTGTTCATAATGAAATTTTCGATTTTTAATACACTACAATAAATTTAATTTCTTGATGCTTGAACTAGCTCACAATACTAGATCTTTCAAAGTGAAGTTTGTTAAATACACAGCATCATCCATTTCAATAAATACTATCATGGGCGTATCAGTTTCATAGTAAATAAAATTAACATTATGCTTTTGAAGATTTCTGATGTAATCTAAACTGCAATCTTTCAAACATTTATCGTAGTGACTAGATTCGTCAATAACAGCGTAGTACTTTGTTTTGATGTCCTATTAAAAATATTTCTATCTCAAAAGTCTTACATTTTATTTTTGTAAAAAATATTATAATCTAGAAATGAATGAATTTCTTAAAGGATTAGGGTGAAATTTCTATATTCTCTATGAGAGGAACATTAGGATTATAAATCGTTTTGTTTCATATTTCAGACGAATTATAGTTTAGAATAACCTATATAAATAGGTTCAACGATGAATACAATGACAATTTTCTCAATACAACTTCCAATTAAATATTTAAATATAGTCTAGAAGTAGTTAAAATTCATAAGCTTCATCATCATCAGGTTGCATGTTTCTTATATTCTTTATTTCGTATTGCATTTTTGATGTTTACTCTTAAAATAGATCAATTCACTTTTATCGTAGACATTGACAAGAGAAATTCACAAAAAAAACAAATAAAGTTGGCTTTAATCTTTTTTTCCTCATAATACTTTTTCATTGATCAAAAAAAAGATGCATTATTAAATGTTGAGATTATGACAGTCTGTAACAGTTTTCTTGCAACCAGTAATATCATGAAAATTGGATGAACGTATTAACATGAAGCTAATCGAACTTTCGAATCCGTTGCATCAATTGAATTACTAGCACAGAAAGTGCGACTGTGAAAAAGAAAAAAAAAGAAGACATTTGTTTCATTATACATAGAGTATGGTATAACAAGTTACCTCTGTTGGCTGTCGGCATCGAGCACTGTAGCTTTTGTAAACTTCCATGAAGGTGAATACAATAATGTTGTAAGTAAATTAGCTTTTTTCTTAAAATCAACATCAACTTGTTTTACTTCACCAATATTAACAGTAAGTGGGATGAAACGAGTTACGACCGAATTTCGTGTAAACGTTGTATCTCCACTAAATAATTCATTAATAAATGAACAAACATTAAATAATAAATATTCTACTTGTATACATACTCATCAAAAGTGACAGAAACTGTTTGAAGAGTACCAACAAGTGTAACAGTCACTACACCGCGTGTTTGTGCATA